TACTCTGGAGTGTCCCCTCCAGAGAGTACATGTAAGACTCACAAGGGAAGAAGTTGTTCCACTCACGGTGCTCCAGTAGAATTTGCTTCCACTGATGTTTTGAGATTTCCAGCACATTAAAACCATCTAAAAAATAATTTTCCTTGTTATGGATCAAGATGTTACTGAAATATATTTCCCATCCTTCCCAACCAAGTATGTTGTAGTGCATCAACATCTGGAGTGCCACAAGTCATCTACCTCTGTAATTATCCACATAAGCAGCAACCTTTGTTGTAGTATGTAAGGTAGTAAAGTCTCCTTTGAGTAATTTGACTCCTGGTGGCTTCATGGACACACAGTTGCATTCTTCTTGGGTGTTTTTATTTTTATTTGCCAGTAAAGTCTACAGCCCTAGGATTCCCTGGAAATCCTCCATCCAAATACTAACCAGGCCTAATCCATCTGAGCTTCCTACTCTACGCACGGTCAGCCAGCCACCTGCAGAGCCTACCATCCATATGTATGTTATTTATTCCACATCCTGACTCTGGATATATGATTGGTTTGGCCACAGATTTTCAGTGTGTTTGATTTAGTATTTGTGTTCTTTCCATGGTCTGTTATCTTGGCCCTTCATGGCTAAATGCCTTGGTGGCAGTATATAATACAATGCACTGCTTTCTATGAACGAATGTAGTTTGTGGTAACTTGTGTAATCATTTCCTATGATCCAAGAAGACTCTGTTTGTTAGATTTATTCATCAGAATAAACTGGAGCTCAAGGCTACACAGGTCATACTCAGTTCTCCAATTTTATCCCCACGCCAGTTTGATCAGGTAATTTGGGTTTAAAGTGCAAGTACAGTAGCAAAAAAATCTCACAGAGAGCTTTCATAGCTAAGAGCAGACTTGAATCTGGGTCTCCACAGATTTCTACCTTTCTTATTAACGCACAAGATAACTGTAGGTGAGGTCGCTCTCTCAGCCTAGATACTATAGGGGTATTAATCAATGATAGTGAATCTGGTAGCACCTTTTCAGACTAACACATTTTATTTAAAGGTGTAAGCTTCTTCTGTTCTGCCCTGTGTTGTGAAATCATTTTATTCCCAGGGCTCTGTATAAAGGAAAGATGAACTGAACCAGAGATAAAAGCTGAATGGGGTGCACATCACATTTCTAACCCTTAGAATGTTTTTGATATTACATAACACCTTCCTATTTCATCATCATATGAAGTTATTCTACGGTATAATCCTAATATTTGCTCAAAACTATATCTATGTGGTTGATATACATCGTTGCAACTGAGCTTACCACTGAAGCCTCATGGAAACTCTCCCATACTTTCTCTGCCCTGAATCAAAGCTATTTAAAATGCTGATAATGTAACTTTACAACTTGCAGTCTTATAGGCAAAGTGCTGAGAGTAGGAAATGCAGTCCATGATAAATATGAAAAATAAGTACCAGCAATTAGGGACAAACTGAAAGAGAAAAAAAAAGGGGTTGTTGTGGATAATCTGCCGTAGGTCTAATAAAAGAAATAATTTATATATTCCATAACACACTCCTCCCTGAAGGATAATGAATCGAATAATTCTCTGAAGCATTTCTCAATCAGTGGTTTCTTTTGTTTGACAGCAGATAATGCTAAAAGGGAGTTACACAGCTTCAGTGTATAACCCTACCTTTACCCAGAGAGTGGACAGGATTCCATAGCAGATGTGGCAAATTTCATCCATGGTTGGAAGAAATGGAACATTTGCCAAAGAAATAAGGAAACTGGAAATGTGTTACATTAGTCTAGGAATCCTCCTCAGTACTTTTTTGGCCAATAGTCCCATCTGAATTTGTAGGAGAATATTGCAGACATTGATGGAAGGCATATGCCCTCTTCTCCCAATGTAATGGGTGCGCATGATATATATATATACACACATACACACACACACACACACATATGTGTGTGTGTGTTTTGAATATATTGAAAATGAAGAATGCTATTTATTATTTAATTCTGTCACTCAAGGTAGTTTATACAGAAATGCACAAATTAAAAGACAGAGTTTAAAAAAAAACACATTAAAACCTTTTTAAAAAAACAGCAACAAATCATTGCTTTGTAAAAGCCTGATGAAAGATATGCATACTGACTACTCTTCTAAAGGCAAAAAGAGTGCATTACACAGCCCTTTCTTCATGCCAGATAAATGAGCCTCTGACACAGGGGATATCTTCAGAAGCACTTCTCCTGCAGATCTTAATGCTCACAGAGCCATTCCCCTGATAGTCAGGTCCTTTAAGCTGCTTAAAGATTTAAAATTAACATCTTAATTTATGCTTGGATAGCAAATAGTGCCAAATGCAGCTCTGTCAGTGCAGACATCCTATGATCCTTGTATATTATTAGTTAGCATATGCCATATTTGCACCAAGTTCAGCTTCCAGGTAACTTTTCAATGGGAGCATCTCATATAGATTGTATTATAATAATAATGACAGGATTTGACCAAGGCATGGATAATGGTTGTCAAATCTGACCAGCTCAATATCATTTACAAATAATACATTAGTCATGATTGTGTAAGTATGTTCCCTACTATATTCACCGTTGTGAATCTGGAAACAGCTGTGGATCAAGGATCACTCCTAGGCTACAGGCTATCTTTAGAGAAGTGCGAACTATCAGGAACAAGTGAACCTCAGTCTCAGAGGTTTCCAGCACCTCTATGTGATCCTGACTGAATTTTAACTAATTCTCTTTTATCCAGCCCATTACTGAACTTACACAATGATTAAGAGTACCAATTGCTTACTTGGAGTTGGCTGCAAGAGCAGTAGAGATGGTTTTGTTAACATACTGGTAGCAATCCACTCCAAAGCTCTGAAAAATCCTCCCCAGCAATTTCACGTAGATATTGAAAAACAGGAGAGACAAGATAGAATTAGGTGGGACACAATAGGTCAATGGCCTCGATGCTCAATGGGAATCATACAGCACATTATTTATACAGACTGATGGGAAAAACCCGAACCACTGTACCACAACAAACCTCTCAAAGCTCAACCCCACAGATGGTCCAGAAGGATGCCACCATTATCAAAAGCCACTAACAGGTCTGAAAGAATTAGGATGACAGTCTTCCCATCAAGGTGATCAAATCAGGCTCAGCACCATTTGTATTTGAAACTCCATTGAAATGAGTTCAGATAATCAATATTATCAAAATGCAAGGCCATCATGAATTTTAACTCCTTTACATGCCAATCATATGTTTCTCATCATATACTTTGCATACTTGGGGCCTTAGGTTGCATACTTCTGCACTAACCCACAGCTTATTTTAATTATTTAATTTAATAGTTCATTGAATAACCCATAATGACTTGGTCCTGGGTTCAAGCTCAAGCCAAATGAACTGCATTATGGCTTAACAGGAGTTATGACTTCAGTTTGTATGGTTATCAGCAAAGAAAAATATTACACACACACCCCTGCATACACATACTCAAAATTAATTGATTGGGTTTTTTTGGATACTGATTTGAGCACCCAGACAGTGTTTTAGAGCAAAGTCCTACACATTTTTTTACTTTTAAATAGGTCTTGCTAATTTATTATTTCCTGGATGTAAGTCCCCCTGAAAGCAATGAAATATATTTGATTAAATTGTGATTACATTGCTACTTTAGGCTGCAATTCTGTGCCCACTTGAAAGCCACTGAGCAAAAGCATAAATAGTATTGGATTATTAGCTTCCTATGCTTGCAGGAAGTTCAGAAATTGCCATTCCAAAAGGTCTCATTAACTAGGAATCTCAATGTTGCAGTCTCAAAATACAGTATCTGAAGGGCACCAGAATGGAGAAAGTGGGTTATTTTTTTGGGGGGGGGGGGAATATGATTACACAGTCTAATTCACATCTATTCAGGAAAAAATCTTCCTGAATTCAATGGGTTTTTTTCCCAGGTATCTTGAAATTTACCCTCCCCCCCCCAAAAAAAAGACAGAGAGATGAATGCTTCCTTTTCTATTTGCAAAAATATTTGGGAATGCTGTTGATTTTATTGCACTGATGTTCCTGCAAACCCCAACCTAACTTTTAGAAATGCTTTAAAACAGAAGTTCTTATTGAATATCCTTAAAGTGACTAAATGGTGGTTTAACAGAATCACTCTTAGAAGTTAATCCACAAACCAATTCTCCACAGCAGAGATGATTTATCCATTATTCTCATAAGCTTCATTCTCATTACTGTCCTGAATGTATGTGGCTTTCTCAAGACATCAGCAATATAAAGAGCTAGTATTGCTGGTTACTGCAGAAAGAGGAAAATTGGTATCCTGCAGATTTTTCTGAACTCCAAGTCCTGACCATTGGCTAGGCAGTTAGGACTACTGGGTGTTTTAATTCAAAACATCTGGAAGACATCAGGCTGCTTTATTTTATATCAGTGCCTCTGAGGTAGGGATGGACAACTGTCAATTTGGTTTCCACCATATTTCTACTTTATCATTCTATTCAATTCTACTCCCACACAGGTTTACATATTTGACACCCCCCCAAAGCCAACGCTCAGATATTTGTGTGTACTTTTATATACCCCCTTCCTAATCTTCATGTTTTTTCATGCACTTTTCTGAGAGGCTGCAATGCATGCAATTATTGCCAGAAATGTTTCCATTGTAACATGTTTTTTGGCAGGATCCAAGAATTTTATCTTGCTTTGAAATCACTGGTCAACTGAGCTGGACAGCCAACATTTTTCTGCTGAATTAACAAGGGTTTGGAAGAAAACTTTTCTTCCTAACTACTTCTGCGGGTGCCTCACACACTATAGAGAAACATTGAAAAAGGAAAGGCAAAATTCCCGCTGCTCACCACCTCAAACCGAGTGACATACTTTAAAACTTCCCTGAGCAGCTGAAGCAACAGCAGGATAAGAAATCTGGTAACCATTTAAATAAATAACATCAGCAATCATGAATCATATTCTAATACGTAAAAAGTATCACCTGGAACCTTTTCCATTCAGGGTTTGTCCCATAGAGCAATTGTTGTCAAAGGCACTGTTGGAGGGACCGAAAACAGAGTCTGAGGTAGTCTTTATCTGCCTTCCTCATCAACACAATTCTGGGATCTTCCAGGATGACCTATGGGGGAAGAGTCCTTTAAATACTCAGATCCCAAACTGTTTTATCCCAGACTTCTAAAAGCCTTCTCCATGAAGCTCAGAGTAGCCAAGGTGGTTCTTAAGCTCCCACTCACTCTATCCTCATGGATTTATCCTTAATGCATTTAAGTTTACCCAATCTTTGTAGCCATTTATACCTAATCTTTTCTCATCAAAATAGTGTACATGTATCTTCTCCAATCCCATTTTATCCTCATGACAAATGCAGTAAACACTGGAGTTGCAAGCCAGTTAACTTGGAATACTGCCTTCTATTTAGCTTCAAGCCATTCGTGAACGGGTTTCTCAGTAATAATCTCTTCAGAGATTACCTTATTTAGCATAAAGGGTAAGACACTTTCTTTGCATAATGTCTCTTGATTTAAATTACAAAAACCAAGGGCAGCCTTCAGCCTGGAAAAGGTTACATATCTTCATCGATATTTGTGCATTTCACCAAGATGAGCTGACATCTAAAATTATTAACATAATTAATTTTATAAAATTAAATTTTTCTGCTATAAATTAAACTTTCCTCCAATAAATGAGAACAATTTTCTGTAATAAGCTGGAAAAAGGAAAACACTACCTTGTCATGTACGTTTGTGGCAGCGAAGCTTGACACTGATTAGCTAGATTGGTGTGCCTCCAAACATTGTGAAACATTTTAACTGCTGAAGTAGGAAAACTGCCAGAACCTTTGCTGCCCCAATGCTGTGGAAAGTGGGGCACTTGTCCCCTGCCCCCCTAATTAAGATGACACATTGCTCTAAGGATACTGATGGCTTTGGAACAGGCTGAGATAAATATACATGGGATTAGTATTAGAAGGTAATCTTGTAGAAAAGTTGATCTGGCAACAGGGCATAAAGTACAGTGATTTTTATTGTGACCAGGTCTTTCCTTTTTTTTCTGATTTGGGAATTAAAAAGAACAAAGACAACAAGTCCAAAATCCGTGTTAATGCAGGGTCTTCATTAGGCTGACTCAAGGTCACAAGCAGCATGCAGAATTCTTGATCATGCATGGCGGTAAATAAAGGGGAAAAGGGAGCAGGATGGAAAAAAAGTCAGCAGCCGTACTTCTCTTTCACATGGGAAACGAACTTCCGAGCAAGCCTAATTCATAGAATCCATCTTTCTTATTTCCCAACCCACTTCAGGCCAGACTACTACTGTAGATGGAAAAGGGGGGAGGGGAGGAGACCATTGTGGGCGCTCCAGCCTTAGATGGTAAGGGAGGAAGGGCGACAATAAAAAAGGGGGGGGGGAGAAGGGGAGAAGGGGGCGAGAAACACCCGAACTGCGATAAAACAGAGAACTAATGCACTTAAGCTGCAAAGATGTGTACAGTATGATTTCGGGGCACCGAAGTGTTTTAAAATGCACGTGTGAGCCCGGCCTCTGTCGCCACGGGAGTCTCCAGGGCAAATTTGCTTAAATCCCGCTGCCATGGCTAACTAAAGTCAAGGAAAGCCCCTCGTCCCTTTCCCCCGAGCCAGAGACGGGGGAACCCCGCGGCCGCTCTGCACACGTGCGCGATCCTATTCCCAGGGGACGGGCCTGAGGAAGAGGGAGCCGCGCAAGGCGGGTGGCTCGGCTGGTGCATTGTTCCACTTCAGGGTGGGGCTTGTCATTGCAGGCTCTGGGCTGACCCTGCCTGAGAGCAGCTGCAGCTCCAAGCCAAGAGAGGGAGGATGTGCACGTTGCGCGTATTAGTCTCAGGGAGAGATGCGTGTCGTCGCCTTCTCTGACCCAGGCTGGGCTCCATTCCGCAAAAACGCCGCGCTCCCGAGGGGGGCTACGAGGGCGGGCGGTTTCGGCGGCTGAGCAACGCGGCCTGCGCCCGGACTGACGGCCAGGGTCTGCGGCGGCGG